AGTGTAAGGGCTCATCCATCGTTAACCAAAGGTCAAGGGTTCCATCCTTGGATTTGGGAATGGAGCAGTCTTAAATCTCTAAGCCAGTTGTCCCACCCAAAAGAGGTGCTTACAATTTAGCAATGGGATTAGTCACTGTGTTCGACAGTGGAAACCCTGGGTTTACCAAAAAAAAAAAAAATCAATGTGGGTAAGTATTGAGAAGTCCAAAGTCTCTCTTCTTCTTCTTTTTTTTTGTGTGGTTAGAAGTAAAGGAAAATTAAAAATGTAAATGAAATATTTCAATAATAATATTTTACATCATCAAATAGTACAGACATATTTTTAAAAATAGTAAAGATAAATTTAAAATGGAACGAAAATATTTCATTAATAATATTCTACATCATCAAATTAAAATGGAACGAAAATTAGGTAAAAATATCACTGCATCTATATTGTAATTGATTAATTGGTTGGAAATAAAAAAGAATAATTGACTGAAAATGAATCTAATATTACTAATTGACTGAAAATATAAAAGGAAATGAATATTAATAATTGACTGCAAATAAAAAATGATCTATAATTGAATAAAAATGGTCAGATCATTGCATTTTAATTAAAAATGGAATGGAAATTAAAAATTGGAGGAAAATATTCCAATAATAATATTCTACATTATCAATAGTAAATGCATATATTTTAAACAATAGTAAAGGTAAATTAAAAATGGAACGGAAATATTTCAATAATAATATCTACATCATCAATTAAAAATGGAACGAAAGTTAGGTAAAAATATCAATGCATTTGATATTCTAATGGACTAATTAACTGAAAATAAAAAAGAATAATTGGCTGAAAATGAATCTGATATTACGAATTGACTGAAAATATAAAAGGATAACTAATTGAGTGATAGAGGGGGGGTGAATAGACTTCTCTAACTTTTTAAACTTCTTCTGCAAACAACACTTTGTAACTTCAACTCTAAGTAACAAGCATAAACAAGTATAACAACTTAGAGTGTGCACAGCGGAATTGTAACGGCAAAGTGTTATGCTTTAAATTGTGTCGTGCTCAAGAGAGATTCTATACATGCATCACGTTAGAAACACTTGATATAGATGTAGGATGATGTATATAAAATTTTACTTGCATGCAAACGAGGGAACTATCAAACCCAGACAGATAAAAATACGCAATAAACCGTAACGGGTTAGTTCACAAATAATATAGGCATGCACGAAATATATATGAGCAGTAAGTAAATAGAGAGAGAGATTTATAGTGGTTCAGAGGTGGTGTAATCCTCCTAGTCCACTCTTCTCCTTTCACTTCAAGGAGGAAATTCACTATTCTTCAATCACCCAGATACAATAGTGAATAAGTGCCCAACGACACTTCTCCGAGTGCTTCGCACAAAGCTACACTCCACCAAGGTTTTTCGCAAGCTCCTCTTGTTACTCCGCCTTCCCGAGTACTTCGCACCAAGCTGTACTCCTACACCACGAGAACTACGCACAAAGCTACGCTCTCACCGGGTTTTCACAAGCTCCCCTTGTTACTCTGCCCGTCACAACCGAGTGCTACGCACAAAGCTACACTCCAACTGGGTTTTTCACTCTCCCTAGTTACTCTACCCCTTTTCTACACTCAGTAGAAGATTTACAATGAAATACAAAGATTTTTCTCTCACTCAGACTTGAATTTGATCGTGTATAGCTCAATATATCACTTGATGATTGATTGGATAATTTTCTTGTTCAAGTCGTTTCTGAATCTCTGTTAGATTCGTTAATCTCTGCTTGTCTTCAAGTCTGCTTGGGCAATTTATAGCAGATGAAAGCTATTTGCCCGTTGATCAACTTTCGATCTCGATCGTCCATTTTGAATTGTAGTTGATCAATTAATTTTGCCAACTTGGTCTGCAAAAATCATTTCGCCGTCTGTCAGAAGATTTTGAGAAATCTCGCCGTTGCTCTCCTTTAATCTGACAAAGCTTTTCTTTGGAATGGGTAGCCTCCAATTTTGAATTTTCTCTGGCATGACTTTTGTTGAATTATTGATCTGATGTGCCAAGTTGATCAAATAATTTATCTGCTGATTCTTGCTTGAGTATTAAAAAAGATCTCCTTCGTATATCAGCTTCTTCTTCTCCTTCGAATTCTTCTGCAGAAACAGAGCTTCAAAATAATGTTTCTGTCTAATTCTATCATGATGTCATAACTCCTTTTGATGAAGTCATGTCCCAATAGTATATCATGTTCCATCTTGTATCATGGACTATATATCATGTTCCACCTTGTATCATGGACCATATATATATCATGTTCCATTTCATATTATGAGCTAGCTATCATGTTCCACCTTGTATCATGGACCATGTATCACGTTCCACCTTGTATCATGGACCATATATATCATGTTCTATTTCATATCATGAACTAGCTATCATGTTCCACCTTGTATCACGTTCCATTGTGTGTCATGAACACATATCATGAATTCATAAAATCGCTTCGGGTGGGAATCAAACTGTGGACCATTTGCTTTGCTTGGCAAGGCTTCTTCCATCTCGGCTAGGTATCCAATTAATACAATCCAAGACTTAAATTCTTTTGACTTATCTCCTCCACGTGTTCTCCACTAGCTTTATCACATTGTGATGTCATTACCCGATAGTCGTGACGTCATCACCCGATAATTCTCAACTATCACGATAAAAATTGTTCTTTCATGATAGTATAACCTGATATTACTATCATGATGACATCATCTCCTGATATTGCTACTTCACGATAGCAATTCATCTTTACACCAAAATTGCTTCTAATGAGAATTGAACTGTGGATCATCTGGCATTAGGCATGCTTCAACAAGTCTTCTACCATCTCGTCCATCTCAACCTTTGGTACCTTAATGCTTCATAAATCTGTTAAGCTATGATCCCGCTTTCATTTATTCTTCTTTAAAACTGCTTTTTCGTAGACTTCATGTAGGCTTCATGGCAGTGGTGCACTATACTTGGTGAACCAGAACTGACTCAAATAAAATAAAATTGGGGTCTACAAAATACATTTGGCTCATCAAAACTTATACAATATATTCCTAACACTTCTTAAATGCGGCCTCTCGACGATCGCCTAACGGCTCTGAGCCGTCCCTTCATGGATTTGGGCCTGGGCCGACTCCTGGACTCGGCCCAAGTCCCTGCTGGGCTTCTTTCACTGCTAGCCTACGTTCCCTATCTTGGATTCCCTTCTTGGGCCAACCCATCTTGGGCCGGGGTTCTCACCCCATCAACTAGTCCCTCGCTTTTCCACATCCGGTCCGCTAATCCGGATTTGGAAAAGTAGTAACTGATCGTCTTCCTCAATCTCCGAATCCATGCATTGAATATCCCTTATGACGCCCGAATTCTTTGCCATCTTTCCGGATTTGTCAGAACTGTTTCGATTCTCCCAGCTCCGCGCGGCTCCTATAAATGGTCTCTTATTCTCTTTGTCTCATCCACTGGTCCACCATGGGTCGCTCACCTCTGAAAGGGAAGCGGATCGACTTCGGCTCTCCTCGACGTCCCCTTCCTTCAAAGCGGACTCGACCTGAGAGGGAAAGCAAGAAAAAAGCTTCTCGTCCGACTCCCCGGCGATCCCCTGCTGGTGCTACCTCCTCAGTTTCTCAGCCGCCAACTCCTCCTCGGCGAGAGGTCGTGCCGCCCTCGCTTCGTCCGCCGACTCCAACAACTGCCAGGGTGACTTCTCAAGATGGATCCTTCGTGGAAGTGGCCGTCCCCGAACAACTGACTTTCCGCATGACTTTCTCTATTCCCCTGGATGACCTCGACGGGCCAGTCACGGGACTGATGGACGATGGGGACTATGCTCGATACTTGGAGGCGTATCCTGATGACGAGGAGCCTGCGGATCTGCCGCTCATGCCATCCTTCTGGGATTCATTCTGCCCCTCTCCCCCTGGGCCATCGGGGGGAAGGTTCTTTGGGAGCGACTCCTCCTCACCCGGCGAGTGATCACCTTGACCAGTGTTGGCTTCATGTTTCCGAGGGGTTTACTTAGGAGCACTTTAATTATCTTTGTTGTAATAAGCTCCCGACCCATTGTATCCCTTTCTTTTCAATAAACTGCCATTGTTCTGTCCTATCTTATATCTCGTGTCGTGTCTCCCTCCGGCCGACTGGTTGAGGAGTCGGCCACATCGTCAGGCCTTTTTTCAATCTGACATCTGCAAGATTCCCCATATCTTGGGTGAATCTAATCTTTTCTGCATGGCATGCGAATCTTGTTCTTCCCGAGCGGATTTGATGGAACTAATCTCTGACAGAGATTCGCACCTTCCGTCCAATCCGGCTCAGTTATGTTAGTTACAATTTCCTCCGTGATTCTCGCCTAGGTATTCGCTTTCATTGGGGTATATAAGGACCCCTCATGGTTCGTGCAAATCACAATACATCTCATTTTTCGAAAGCACGGAGCTATGAGCTACAGAGACGGTGGTTGCCGCTGGTCCATTCGTAACCAGGAACAAGCTCGACTGGAGAAGCTGAAGCAAAAGAGGCTAGCTAACGGAGGTCGTCTGGTGGGCGACTCGGCCTCAGACCCCATTGTGGTGCCCCCGGACATGCTGGACCTTATGTACAAGGAGCCTGCCGTCGCGAAAATGGAACTAGTGATGGACGACCCAGTTCCAGAGGAGGAAGAAGTGTGGGAGGTTCCTCCGCTTTTTGGGGTGGCTATGTCTCCGAGCGCCCTAGAGAGGCCCCTGCAAATGGTCGATGACGGGAAGCCGGTTGTGTATCTGGACGAGGTGTCGGAGCCTGAGCCGAGTCCTCTGCCTTTCCGGCCTCAGTATTTCTTGGAGGGTCCTCCGCCAGCTCGCCCGTCGGAGGAGAAAGAAGCCGAGTCCTGATCTACTTTTTCCTTGTGTCTTGCTTCTGGCCGAGTCCTCGGCCTTGTACTTTTCATGTTTTATCGAATAAACTGTATGCTTTTCGTTTTACTTGATACTTGTACTTTCTTTGATCGACTTCCACTCCCTCCCAAACGGGATCTTTCTTGTTGGGGAGTCGCCAGATCTGGCGGTCCGACTCCGGGACTGGAATTTTTTCGTGAGCCTTGCTTGCGTTGACTGACGGACCGGATTCCTTCGGGTTTTTCTGGAAGCTTCTAACTAGACCCGGTGGGCCCAAAGGCCGCGGCCTACTATGGGCTTTTGGCTTAGCAGGCCGGGTCAGTGTCACCGGACCACGCCTAGGGCAGACGCGCCGCCTGCAGGCTAGCCCTAGGCCTGGACTGTCTTTCCGCCTTCCGAGGCATTAATTACGGCGTCCTTTCACTTCTTGTCACCCTTCTCCTCTCTAATGAGAGGGTGACACGTGGCGGTCCGTTGGGATTCCCCCCTTTTAAATAGCCATATTCTTCCTCTTCCACTCACTTTTCTCTCAACTCTCCATACTCAGCGTCAAGAACCTCCGATCTTCTTCTGCATTTTCCTCCGTCCACACACTCAGGTTGGTAGATGTCTTCCTCCTCACACTCTTCTTCTTCTCGTCGCCGCTCGGTCGATAACCCGGCGGCAACTTCCCCATCTTCTTCTTCTCCTTCCTCTTCATCTTCTTCGTCTCCTCGTCGCATGGAACTTCCGGCAGATCTTCCATCGACGTCTTCTCTTCCGCCGACCCCCTCTTCTTCGGGGGCGGTTACTCCTATTAGCCCCGCTCCTTTAACGACGGTAGCGGCTCTGCCAGACGGCGCCGGACGGTCGCGAGGCAAGTTTGATTCTATCGTCCGGCCGCTCGGGCCGCCGTCCGGCGTTACTGCGGCGGACCTAGACATGGCCCGCTTTCTGCTTGGGCCTTCGGCCTTAGTTTTTGCCCCAGAGGGCCGGCCCATCCATGACCCGCCGGAGGGTTGTGTGGGTATTCATTTGCACTCGGTTGCCTTCGGCTTCTGAGTTCCTCCATGTCCATTTCTTTCCCTTTTCTTCCGCCACTATAATTTGGTTCCGGGTCAACTAGTGCCCAATTCTCATCGCCTCCTCACCTGCTTCATAAATCTCTGCCACTGGTGGCTGTGTGAGCTGGATCTGGACCTGTTTCGGTATCTCTTTACCGTGAACAAGGTTGGCTCGCACTCGCCGGGCTTTGTTCAGGTTGCCGCTCGTCCGGGGCGACAGCTTTTCGAGGGGTTGTCCGACTCCATCAAGGACTGGAAGCCTCTCTACTTCTTCGTTCGCCCCACTCTTTCTTCCTTCACCTTTCCGACCTTGTGGCCGATTGCTTTATTCAAGCCCTGCTCTCGGCGCGTCGTCTTCTCTCAAGAAGCGATCCAGGGTGGCGAGTTCTTGAGGGGCTTTGGGCCGTACTCTGTCAAGTACTGGTCTCGGGTTCGAGCTATGGCCAAACGAGGCCTGCTGCCAGACGGCGCGGCCACCTTAGGTAGTTCTCCCATACCTTTCTTTTTCCTTTCTTTTCTTGTCCGACTGTTAACACTAATCTCTCTTCCTTACAGGTCCTTACGACTCCGACTCCACCAGCTCCGACGAGGCTGCCGCTCCGACTCCAGAGATGGCGGACAGAGCTGAAAAAATGAGACGTCGACTGACTCAACGCGCCGCCGGCGCTGTTGCTGCCTCTTCCTCCCAGCCGTCACCGGCTCCAAAGTCGACTCCTCCACCACCACGTACGGTGGTTGACTTGACGCCGTCGCCCGTTGTTTCGCCTACTCGACTGCCGCCTCCTCCTCCATCTGAGAGTCCGAGCTCCAAGCGGTCGGTCGAGCAATCGGACGCGCCGGCTCCGAAGAGGATCCGGTTGAGTCACGAGGTGGACGAGAATGCCCAGATCTGGCAAGGCACCTCCTCCGTCCGCTCTTGGGCTGAACATGTCCTTCTTCCTAAGGACATGGAGGCGACTGGCGCCATGCCGGACGAGTACATCATCGAGGCCACTCTTCGCCAATCCTACCGCGTAAGTATTTCCGACCGGCCCTATTTCCGACTCCCTTTCCTCTCGTTATCTGACTTCCTGTCACTTTGCAGAACCTCACTTTTCAGATGGAGATGCGTAGGCGACTGAGGGAGTATAAGAACGGGCTACAGTCTCTGGCCCTCCGGGTGCGCCAAACTAAGGAGGCTTTCCTGGCAGAGCAGGCTAAGCATGCCAAGTCGGTGGAGGTGCACACCGCCGAGATGCTAAGGGTCACCCGTCAGTGGGAGGACGAGCGGAACAAGGTCGCGACTATTGCTACGACTTCGGTGGAGGACTACAAGAAGTCAGCGGCCTTCGAGGCGGACATGAAGGCGGTGGTGGCAGCTCGACAGAAGGAGATCGCCCAGGAGTGGCTGGCGACACCGGAGGGAGATGACTACCTTCTGGATCTGGGCGAACGCGACTATCGCCTTGGTTTCCGTGAAGCTCAGTCGGAGACTTATGCTGTTCTGCTGGCCCGCGATTCCGCCTTCACTCCCGAGAGCTGGGGCCTCAAGCCACTGCTGGACATTCTTCCAGCGACTGATCAGCCCGCATCAACTGTGGATCCGGCCGCTCTCCCCGTGGCGGAATCCGCAAATCCGGCGGCTTTCCCTGTGGCGGAGCCTTCAGAGCTCGCGGAGCATCCTCCTCAGGCGGAAGACTCCTCACTCATCCCTCCAGCTGGACCAACGGCAGGAGAGCAAGTTGAGAGGGTCGACGTCGACACTCCCCCCCCCCAAGTAGCTTAAGGCTATTCTTTTTTAGATAGCCTTCTTTTGTATGGGCTGGCCTCCCTCTCGGGCCTTTATTATTAATGAAATCTTTCCTTGCTCCCTTTGATTGTCTTCATCTCTTATCCACTCTTGAATTTTCTTAAAATAATTTAAGGCCTCGGGCTCCATCACTCTGTTCGACTTTCTTAGTCAAGGATTTGGTCTCGTCGAGTCCCTGGGTCAAGGCGACTTCTCTGTGTCTTCTTCACGGAAACGACTAAGGGTCTGGGCCCTTGTTTCCCATCTCTCTCGCCGAGTCCCTCAGTCGAGGCGACTCCTTTTGGCTTTTTTCTCGGAAACGACTAAGGGTCTGGGCCCTTGTTTCCTATCTCTCTTGCCGAGTCCCTCAGTCGAGGCGACTCCTTAGGCTTCTTCTTTACTTAGAAACAGTTAAGGGTCAGTGCCCCGTTGTTTCTTTATATACTCGCCGAGCCCCTCAGTCGACGCGACTCCTTTTGGCTTTTTCTCAGAAACGACTAAGGGTCCGGGCCCTTGTTTCCTATCTCTCTTGCCGAGTCCCTCAGTCGAGGCGACTCCTTAGGCTTTTTCTTTATTTAGAAACAGTTAAGGGTCAGTGCCTCGTTGTTTCTTTATATACTCGCCGAGTCCCTCAGTCGAGGCGACTCCTTTTGGCTTTTTCTCGGAAACGACTAAGGGTCCGGGCCCTTGTTTCCTATCTCTCTTGCCGAGTCCCTCAGTTGAGGTGACTCCTTAGGCTTTTTCTTTACTTAGAAACAGTTAAGGGTCAGTGCCCCGTTGTTTCTTGATATACTCGCTGAGTCCCAGCGGAATTTGGCCGTAATTCGTGCTCTTTTATTCAAGTTTCGAGACTTAGGTGCGTGTACATGGCTAACCTTTTTCTACTGGTAGAATTTCTTCAAATGGATGACGTTCCAGATCCGGTCTACGGGCTTGCCCTCCAAGGTTTCAAGCTTGTAAGTGCCGGCTTGGACCACCGCGGCAATACGGTACGGTCCCTCCCATTTGATTGCGAATTTTCCCCCCTCCATGGGTTGACTCGCCTGCCGGTCTCATAACACGAGATCTCCGTGATGAGGACAACCAAAGGCTCAAAGATCAACATACAAATAAGAGAAGTCACAATTACAAGTTCAAAAGCTAAGAAATTGCGACGGGTTATAAATGGATTAATCCATGCAATTTGCCAAAAATAAGTGAAGAATTAATCTAAATGGTCCAAATTTTCGTGGCTGATTGGGAGAATTCAAATGAAGCTAAACTCAATCCATTAAGGCAAATAAATTCTCATTTAGTATAGTTTTAATATTATTCATGTGCTATATTTATTTTATTTTAGGTTACATGTCTAGGATGAATGAATATCATTCATTGTCTTGTAATAGAGTCTTTTGATCTCCATAAGAGTTATGTATTAGCCTATTTAAAGGCTACACAATCAGAATTTTAGAGATAGAGATGAATGAAGTTGAATGAAAGAAATGCTTAGGCATTTTGTTGTCTCTCTTGTGTGTTGAGAGATGTTATTCTAGGCTTATCAAGATAATACCAATCTTGTGGTGCCATCCATTCCTTATCACCTAGGACCAAGGTGTGGCGGAAATATCTTTATAGAAAAACACAAAAATAATCCCCCAAACCAACCCCTACATCAACCAATTCCATCTCCAACACCCTCAAACCGTAATTGTTGTTCCTGCTGTTTTGGTGAGGAAAAGATCGGGCAACCGGAGGAATCTTTGGTGAATCGAATCTTGAGTTCATCCCCCAAAGATTCACATCACTCCGACTTGGAAGGTTAGTGGGCGGATCCTTTGATCTCGATACCTTTTCACGGCTCGTTGGTATTCAACCATCCGGGCACCCGCGGCTTCCCTTCTTTCTTCTAGGAAATTCTTCTCAATTCGAAGATTTTCTTCGTTCTCTTCATCGGAGTAATTACGGACTTGATGAGTGGGCTCTACAACTTCTATCGGAACTTTGGCCTCGAAGCCATATGCCAGGGAGAACGGGCTCTCGCCGGTCACTCGTCGTTGCGTGGTGCGATAAGCCCATAGGACTCGGTCAAGCTCATCCGCCCAATTTCCTCCGATGTCTTCCAACTTCTTTCGGATCCCGTCCACTATGGTGCGGTTCACGTTCTTGACTTGTCCGTTGGCCTGGGGGTATGCCACGGATACCTTGGTGTGACGGATGTCGTGTCGGCGACAAAAGTCGGCGAACGCTTGACAGTCGAACTGTCGACCGTTGTCGCTAACAATATGCTCGGGCAGGCCAAAACGGCAA